TCTAATACCCCGTTCACATTACATCGTATATCACGTGATATACGCTGTCTTGCAATGAGCAATCATAAATCTAGTTTTCACTGGAAATCTTTTGTACGAGTGCTCATTGCAAGATAGCCTATATTCCGTGATACAGGCTGTAATGTGAACGGGGTTTACGTTTGTTTGACTTCTCGACGCAAGATCTCACTAATACAACCTAGCTATTGTAGCAGTGTAACAGAAAAACACTAACGTTGGATCGCGCAAAACAAAACAAACGTAGAAGTGGACGAGAGGGACGACTCTATCTACTATGCAGAAAAGATTGTGTTTTGCTGATTTGGCGAAAAGGTTCAGTTCGGCGAGTCTACATATATGCAAGAATGTATTCTGTAGTACCATGCCAGAAAACATCCCAACAGGACGCTGAAACAACACGCTAACTTGAAAATACCCTTTAAATGAGTACCTTGTACTCATTTTTAAGTTTATTTTAAGCTGTCAAAAATGAATTTTTTTACCAAATTAAATATTTATACTTTTTATTCATTTTTGAAAATATCTGCTTGAAATAAAAATGGGTAAAAAATTCATTAATATTTCAATGCTAAAATCAGACGGCATTCTCACATATCAGGAGGAAATGGTCGGGAGTTATCGCGAGTTTTCCAACTATAGAAAGAGCGGCACAGCTAGTTGTTACAAGGTAGGGATCGAGATAGGGATTATATAGAAGTTCGATTTTCATTCAAATTGTTCTAATAATGTGTTTCGTCTCAGGTTTGCTGACATCTTAGAAGAAGTTCACTTTCACAAGGAACCGGACCCATTCGATAGCAGCATCCATCACGTAGACTGTCCTTAAGGACATTCATTTGTTGCTGATCATGGTGAGAAAACTGCATTAGCTGCAACCGACACATCGAAATCGTGATCGGATGGTGGAGTCCGTTGAGGGAATGTCCAGCACAAAAATTCAATGAATTTTTCAGGGAGAACCTTCCGCCAGGTGAATTTTTTCAACCATGATCTTGAGGACGTGGATGGAACTCTGGAGAGGTCTTCCATCTTCCAGTCGTAAATTCAACAAGAAAATTGAATTGCAATCATTGATGATCAATATACAATATAATAATTATTGGTGTTTTTTCACAATGTAATTCTTGGTTAAATCTCTGATGACAGGGTGCCCCATGCAGCAAAATTTTCAATAAAATGAATGCTTTCTACTCATGTATAGAATAAACATGAAGGGTTAAAAGTATCCATTTTTTAAAGTATTCCTTGAATACTCATTCATGAGCAAAGCCGGTTTTACTCATTAAATGAGCTAAGCCACTTTTCTATAAAATTTATGAATGTTTACTCATTAATGGATATATTCAAGTTAGCGTGAAAACCAGGGGGCATGCAATACAAAGAACCGGTGCGTTAAAGTTAAAATACAATCAAAAGTACTTAAAGTAATTAATGCGTTTTGAAGTAGTACTGACGGTTATCAAAATTATCTATACGTAATTAATGTAATTAAAAGTATTGAAAATGTAATTAATGTACTTTAATTACGAAGTTTCGACTGTAATTAATGTTAAAAAGTAGTTAATGTTCTACATTGTGTAATTAATGTAATTAAAGCAATAAACTTGGTTGCCAAAAACCGTGCAAGGAAGTTGTACGAGCATGTTCTGACATAAGAGGAAGAGGTGACAATTGGCTTCGTACTCTTTAATTTCTATCTATATCTCTATCTTTATCTACGTATATCTCTATCTTACGCACATCAAATCAGCCAATCACGAGCTGGTTCACGTTTGACAGAAAAGTGGTTCATGTGTGTCACCTATTCTCTTAGGTTCTGACCAATTAAATATAACGGGTGTATTTTTAAGGACGACGAAAATTACGTCAAAATTGCCTTTAGACACATTCTGGGTCAAAAATTTTACCTTGCTGAACGTAGCGGGGGATACTCCGGGTAAGTTCAAATTTGTCTGTGTAGATAAATTCACTCGCAAGTTGATGATTTGGCAAGGCATCTGCAGTTGTGGAAAGAAAACAAAGGTTTTCAACACTGGAGCGACTATAAATGGACAACTTTACCAGGGGGAATGTTTTCAGACGAGAAATTTACCATTCATTCAGTCACACGAAGGTCCCTTAAAGTTCTGGCCTGACTTAGCCAGCTGCCATTACAGCAGGGATGTCATTGAATGGTATAAGCAGAATAATATAGATTTTATTGAAAAAGTATCATCGAAAATTTTTGGGCAATTATCAAGCGTAAATTGAAGAAATGTGGCAAAACAATCAAAACACCATCTGATTTGGAGAAGTGGTTGAAAAAGATGACAGATAAGTTTGACAGTACTACCACGTACTACCATAGAGGTAACTATAAGACCAGACGGTCCCGAAGAAACGAGCTCAACTTTTTGGCTCAGCTCTGGTACTATCTTCGGTCTCAAGCTAATCGATTCACCTCTCGAAACATAGGAGAATCCACTAACCCCTCATTTTATCTGTCAAACTCTCATAGCGAATCAAAACAAACTTAGTGTAGTACTGGATTTTATACTAGACTGGGGTACGTTAGTCGATTTGCTTGGGACACTTATACATTTCATTTGACACATGATCTTCATTAACTTTTTGCAAGGCGTCTGTTTATTAGTTGACTAATACATTTTATGAATAATAAGCCATAGAAATTTGCCAAAAGGTATAAGGAGATTTCTATCCGTGTAGTAGTGAGCCAATTTAAAATCGTTGGTTTCGTATTGATTATTGGTACTACTGTGCAAGACATGATGGGAGGTATTCGCGAAAAGTCCGAAAATTCACCTGAAAAGCATAGCTTTTTTGTTGGAGAAATGACCAATTTTGTGCGACCAAATTCTTAATGGAACAGACTTTAGGAAATAAATAATGGAAGATTTTGTGATTATGAATTAAATATGCCTAACATAGGGAATGGTGATGCAAGATGAGTCACGTGGCAAGATGGGTCAGCTAGTATATCTAATGATTAATTAATGCCAATCAACTTAATGTCTATAGTATAATACTATTACTATTAGTATTTATACCTAACGTCAAATCTAAGTGTTCTCCCTTAGCTCAGTCGGTAAAGGCGCAGCTATAAAGATGACCATGCTGGAGGCGACTGGGTAAGATTCCCAGTCCAATCTAGGTATTTTTCGGGTTGTAAAAACCCTGGGCATGATTGAACATGCCGCACTATTATACTAATACAAAAATGGTACTGGCATAAATAGCAACTGTGGAAGTGCTCAAAGATCACTAAGTTAAGGACCAGCGTAAAGTCCCAGTAGGGACGTAATAAAACCAAATGAGAAGAAGACCTAACGTCAAACAAAGTCGCCGATTATTACAAATTAATAAAGTGAACAGCTGTAGTGACTTACTGCTTTTGCGATCTCGCCTTTTTTGTTCGTCAAATGCAACAAACGCCTCGATCATTCCAGAACGGAGAATCGTCATTTAAAAGATTCCTACACACTATGCGAGTTGTGAAATGGTTCAATTCTTATACACGTGGTGTGATTACTTCCTACTGGCCGAGTCTTATTTTGACATATAGTTTCAAAAAATTATATAATTCTCTCGCACATCCAATGGCAACGCCGAGCTGGGTGACTTTTGCAAAATCCATCTTGGGTCCCTCGACTGACTATACCGTAAGATCGTACACATTTCCATGTAGCTAGCACCACATCAGAGAATGTCACTTTAATTCAATTAAACCCATATTTCAACCAATAAAAATATGACCTGAAGCAAAAGGAACGAATCACATATCATCTTTTTGTATGCTGTGGAATACGGTAGTGGTAGGGTTCTTTATTTTTTTCCTTTGACGCAAAAGATTTCATCAACCAGCTGAAAATGTCTCAATATCCAGCCCGCGAAAAGGTTATTGCCTGTAGATCAGTGTCGTCAGTTTTTCGATTTTAAGTGAAACTTGCTTGTACATAATCTGGAAATCAGAAGAACCTGGGCCACCTGAGATGTATACAGCACTAGAATTCAGTACATGGCATCTTCCAGGTCACCTAGGTCCTAGAGAGTGATTGCCCCGTTGTAGAATGCCGCTGAATTGTTAAACATTTAACGAAATTAATTGAATCTTATTGTTGATAAATTCAGCGCTTATTTATCGAATAAATAACTTATTATAGCCCGCCTGGCCTCCACTCCTGAGCACTTTGCGCAAAACTCTCGGATATATTGTATTGTGTGTGGTTGGTCCCGGGTGGTAGGTGTATTGTACATGTTCGACGCGGAAAGTGGGGACCTATTCGATGCGAGAGTTTTGTGTGTAAAGTAGGTACACAAAAGGCAGTGCGATCATTGCGGTTTCCCGCGAGCCAAATATCACACGTTGTCTCCTCGACACCGCACACACCGAGTCCACCTACGTCTCAATCGAGCACGTTATCATCATCGACGATAATACGTATTCTAATACACAGGCAGAGGCCGCTGTTGTGATATTTGTTGTATTCTTCTCGGCCTTTTCATTGATGCTTCACAGTGATACAGTTTTCATTTCATGAAGGCACTTAGCATATTGGACGGTACTGGTCACTCCTTGGCCAATTTGAGCGCACTTCTTATGAACACACATATGAGCCACATAAGGGCTACATATACAGCCACGACGCGGCAACAGTTGAACCACTTTACTCTTTAATCTTCTCATCTTCCGAATTAAGTGAAACGTTCTCGTCTATGATAATCAATTAGTGTGACTCCAAGCCGTAGAACTTGATTCTGCCATTTCAAGCACATTGTAGATTCACGATTAACAATTGTTCAGCGCTGCCGATTGGCGGTTTGCAATTATTCATGTTCCTGCTGTAATCATCTCTATGTTAGTATCTGAAACTCCACACGACACTCAACGCACTACAAACTACAGGTCAATCAATTCTTCAAATCCGTGGCAAACAATTAGCTAACAATCAACTATAAATGGAACTAATTTTCCAAAATACCATTAGGTCTCGTAACGGTCCAGAAGTCCGTTTCGTCCATGTTGATCAAATCACAGTCCAAACCCAACTGAGGCGCGCCGATCCCAATTGGCTCCTATGTATAGACTTTTTCCGCTCTTCAAACACCAACGGAACGCAACGACGACAAACGGCGACGGTGCAGCGGTGACAAACGGGTATAGGGACGGGTCACTACGGGCCGACCATTCGAAAGAACCGAACCGAGATGTTGAACGCACGGAAGACCAGGTCAGTCTGGAATAGCTTCAATCGAGCGCATCTCTTAGGTAGCGACAAATACGAATTGCCCTCCAATGTCGATTCGCGTGCTCTCATCACGCCGGGTTCTTCTCCAGCTATGTGGCTCGCTGCTCTCCATATGTGTATAAAAGTTGAAGAACAACGGAACGGAAGGTGATACTGGGGATGTGGAAAAGAATGTATGCTCGCTCACTGTTTACTCCCGTGTACGGTCGGATGCTAGTACAGATAGAATTGCGAGATTATGCTTCGTTCGATTGTGGAAGGGAAACTTAGCTTTATTTCTCTGCCTGCGAACGACACTGTTGATTGGGATTTTTTTTACAATTGAGGCTGTTAGGGTTATCCACTGGGGCCTCTCTTAGCTCAGTCGGTAAAAGCGCAGCTACAAAGCAAGACTATGCTGGAGATGGCTGGGTTCAATCCTGGAATTTTTCGGATTGGAAATTTTCTCTACTTCCCTGGGCATAGAGTGTGTCGATTGTACTTGCCTTGCCACACAATTATACTAATGCAAAAATGGTACAGGCATCGAAATCTCTCGATTAATAACTGTGGAAGTGCATCTAGAACACTAAGTTGAGAGCTATAAAATGCGATAAGCATTAAGCTTGAAATGCGAAAAAGAAGAATAAGAAGAAAGAAGGGTTATCCACTATAACTCAACATGGGTGAATTGTACAATTTTTTCCCTGGCTATTTACTAACTTTGACAAGGCGAGTACTGAATACCGGTGTATCGATTACCGGCAAATCGATACTGGCACAAAAATGGCGAATCAGTTATGATTGCGCTATCATTCAACGTGGTAGTTTGAATTTTAATTATTTAAAATCACAGATAATGTCGTTTAGGGGGGAAAATTTTAAACTAAATTCATCTTGGAAACTGAATCCGAATGCCACATCAGAATGCTTACGAATGCTACGAAAGGGTGATAGAACAAATCCAGAACACTTTTGGCATAATTCGCCCTGTACACCTGTCCCGAAGTGACGTTTCTTAACACACATTTTGACAGTTCCTTATGGGCTTTTGCGTTGGAGTGAGAGAATAAGAAAAAGTCCGCCATGTTTCACACATAAACTGACAGTTACATATGAGATTTCTCCATAGGTGTAAAGAGTTACAGAGCTCTCGTCAACGCCAATAACAGGAAGATAAATTCGGACAAAGTAAAACAGGAATGTCATGCTGCCTTATGAATGACAAAAGCCATTTTTGCGGACATTTTCTTATGTTAACATCTTGATTCACATCGCTGTAGTAATAAAATTACGTTTTATTTTCCATTGATTATGATTTTACACTGATCATACATTCCAATTGATTAGCCTGAAGGGCTCTTCATCTTTGTTTAATTTGTTATTCTAATTAAGGTGTTTACGTTTTTCAACTAGTTTACATGATACCCCTTAGAGTGCGTTTTGCTTGAATAAAAAAATAATAATTTGATATCCTGCCTAACTACTAATAACTTAACCTAAATAGCCAGATCGAGTATGATCTGGTTATTTGATCTCAGGCAGGCGTCTTTGAACCTTTCGGGGATGAGTGTACTCCACTCCTATAGTGTCTGAAGACCAGCCAGGCGGTGGATCTCAGAATTTCGAGTCCGCGGGGGACTGTTGAGGATCATCCCAAGAATCTTGTTCTGGATCCTTTGAAGTTCGAGGTGATGGAACTTAGCACAGCTCTCCCTGCTTGTGGACAACAAACTTGTTTTTAAGGGAAAGGGTGGACTTTCTGTTCATGAGTGGGTAGGGCGATCTAATCAAGACGTTGCACTTGGTGGATATTTTGTCCACATGGGAACGGAACAGCAACTTGCTATCAAGGGAGAGACCAAGGTAGAAGACTTCACTCGACCATTCAACGTCAAGTATTATCAAGGTGGAATATCAAGTTACCATGCGGGGCAAGTCGAAGTGAATTGGAGTGCGGAAATAGTATGGTCTGTGTTTTAGCTGCATTGATAAATCTTCCAGCTTTTGACATAGTCGAACAGAACATACAGGCCTGTTTGGAGTTTTCTCTTCAGAGCATGGATCATTCGACCCTTATAGATGATGGCGTACGCACATCATACTGAAGGCTGAAGCTAGGCGGATTGGACTTGCCATCAACGCATCAAAGACAAAATACATGAAAGGAAGAGGTTATAGGGAAGACAATGTTAGCCTCCCACCCCGAGTTCAGATTGACGGTGACGAAATCGAGGTGGTCGATGAGTTCGTGTATTTGGGCTCACTGGTTACCGCCGAAAATGATACCAGCAGAGAAATTCAAAGACGTATTATGGCAGGGAATCGTGCCTAATTTGGACTGCGGAGGACGCTCCGGTCGAATAAAATTCGCCACCGCACGAAGTTGACTGTCTACAAGACGCTGATTAGACCGGTGGTCCTCTACGGTCACGAGAGCTGTACTATGCTCGTAGAGGATTAACGAGCCCTTGGTGTTTTCGAACGGAAGGTATTGCGTACCATCTACGGTGGAGTGCTGACGGATGACGGAACGTGGAGGAGGCGAATGAACCACGAATTGCACCAGCTGCTGGGAGAACCATCCAACGCAAATGGATCTCGAAAGCGATCCAATAGGAACAAGAAGAAGAGGCGCTCAGTGCGCAAGGTGGATCGACCAAGTAGAAGGCGACCTGCGGACCCTTCGCAGACTACGAGGCTGGCGAAGTGTGGCCATGGATCGAGTAGAGTGAAGATGACTTCTTCAGACAGCAGAGGACAACAAGGCCTTAGCCTGATTGGTATGGTAAGTAAGATGATGGCAGTGTCATCTGCAAACATTGACAAAATATCACCACCCGGATGGGGAGGAACATCTGACGTGAATATGTTGAACAGGATAGGATCAAGGAGGCTACCCTGGGGAACCCCAGCATCAACGTTGGACGTATCAAAAGGTGAATTGTTCAAGAAGACCTGGAAAGATCTGCCCGACAAATAGTTGTTGATGATCTTAACAAGGAAGATTGAGAAGTTGTATCGATGCAGTTTGTACACGAGGCCATCATGCCAGACATTGTCCAGCGGCTTCTCAACACCAACAATGTCATGGCAGATGTCTTGGAAAAGGACTTGTTCCGCTTGATGATGTTAGTAAACCGTGCGAATTGCTCTTTGAGAACGATGTTTTTATCATTTGAAAATACCAGCAAAGCCGAGCTTTCCGAATAGCTTCGAGATGGATGATAAGAGGCTGATAGGGCGATAGCTTTTGGCAATGGTAGGTTCTTTGCCAAGCTTGTGGATTAGAATGACTTTGGCTAACTTCCAGCATGCAGGGAAGTAGCCTAGCATCAAACACTTATTGAAGACCGCTGCAAGGTTTTCGAAGAAGTCAACACTCAAGTTTTTCAACTCGAGGTTGACCACTCCATCGACACCTGCGGCCTTCATGATCTTGTTTGATTTAATGGCTGCTATCACCTCAGCAGCCGATATTCTACTTTCGTCAGGGGCATCTACGGGACTCACCATGGCTTGGCCAAGGTTATGTGAATTCACTCATTGTTGACCAAGAGCATTGACCTGTTCACCTGGGGTTAAGAGTAAGGATTGATCCGAATTCTGATTAAGAGGGGAAAGGGGAGGGATGGGCCTTGGCTTATTTTTTAAAATCTTTGTCATTTTCCAGAACGGCTTAGCACAATCTGGGAGAGAGCGAATCTTGTTTGCAAAATTGTTATTTCTGAGTTCCACTATCCTGACTTGAATGATTTTGTTTTAACGGTGGAAATTTCTGGTACTGGCTACGAATGCTTTTGCGGAGTCTAATGAGGTCTTTAGTGGGCCTGTCAAGGTTCAAAGTATTACATGGTATTACCATAGAGGTAACTCTAAGACCACTGGGTCCCGAAGAAAATCATTATTATTTTTGGCTCACTCAGTACCAGAACAACGGTCCCAAGCAGTCCCAAGCTATTTCACTCACCCCTGCATGTTCTGCATGAATCCACACACCCCTGATGTTATCTGTCAAACTTTCATAGCGAATCAAAACAAACATAGTGTAGTAATAGAATTTCAACTAGAATAGGGTACGTTAATCGTTTGCTTGGGACCAATAGGCTACTAAAGTGGTGAGCCAATTTAAAATCGTTAGTTTCGTATTGATTGTTGGTATTACCATAGAGGTAACTAAGACTAGAAGGTCCCGAAGAAACGTGCTCAACTTTTTGGCTCAGCTCTGGTACTCTCTTTGGTCCCAAGCTAATCGATGCACCCATCGAAACATAGGAAAAACCACGAACCTTTCATTTATTTCTGTTAAACTTTCATAGCGAATCAAAATAAACATAGTGTAGTACTAGAATGTTGTCTAGAATGGGGTACGTTAATCGTTTGCTTGGGACCAATAGGCTAGTCGAGTAGTGAGCCAATTTAAAATCGTTAGTTGCCACCGGTTGGTATTACTCATCAGTCTGGATACTGACACATGTTGCTCTCTGGCCCGAGGGGCACGCAATACAAAGAACCGGTGCGTTGAAGTTAAAATGCAATCAAAAGTACTTAAAGTAATTAATGCGTTTTGAAGTAGTACTGACGGTAATTAAAATTATATATCCGTAATTAATGTAATTAAAAGTATTGAAAATGTAATTAATGTACTTTAATAACGAAATTTTAACTGTAATTAATTGAGTTAAAAAGTAGTTAATGTTCTACATTGTGTAATTAATGTAATTAAAGCAGTAGTTAATGGAATTAATTTAATAACAGCCGTTGCCTGCGTTGGAGTTGAAGGTTATTGCGTGCCCCTAGCTCTGGCCCGGAAAATCGCCTCATCGATGGAGCGCAGACACCGGTCGATGTTGTCTGTCGTTTCCGGCCGGTTGGAACTGCGCCCAGTGGTGGCGCGGGGATAATTGCGTCGAGAAACTTCGAATCGGTTCACGGAGGAACCTACTTCGGCCACCACCGGATAGTGGTCCGAGCCGAGTTCTTGGTAAACCACAGTT